TTCGCTTTAAGGTAGAAGCGAGGTGCATATTTTTAGCTGAAAACAGATCAGCAAAGTTTAAAATAAAATCGGATAAGGTCAGTAAAAAAACGAAAAAATCGATGTATCTTCAGTTAAATGCGGCTATTGGCAGTTCACTTCAGTTAAACTTTCTGTTAAGTTCAGTAAAGGTTTGACTAACGTCAGCCAGGATTTCATCTAGGGCTGGCTCCACCCAACACCTTGCATTTCCCCGGTAAGCCCTCGGCCCCTTTGTGCCATGGTGCGTTTAACGTTTCAATCGAGCCTTGTTCTAACTTCCTTTCTATTACTTTTATGTAAATTTATTTGTGATAAGCCATGTTGATCATATAAATATTTCCATGATATAAAGTCTTTTTCAAAACCTTCTATGCTATTATGAGGAACATATAAAATTACATTATACTTGTAAAAGTCATGATTGTCATCCATATTTTCAGCATGTTTCAAGTATGGATACATTAAGAGTACGGGAAAGTACGCAGTAGGACTCTAAAAATACCTTGAAATAGCAATTACATTTTTAAATTTTGAGCAGTGCGGCTGCTAGGGGTGTCAAAATGTTTTTCTTTCCACACCATTTGAGTTTCTAAACTCAACCTAAAATTTTTCTCCTCCTATCTGGTACATGCCAATTTCAGTCCTGTGTCACCTTAAAGGCAAGCTAGAGGGGGCAGATTCATCACGTGATAAACCTGCCCCCTGCCTGACGGCAACCTGTAGGGGGCACTTTCATCCCGGGATGAATGTGCCCCCTACCCCTACCCACCTACTTTACAACTGGGAATAGTGTATTACCGAATTATTCACAGTCGGCTCGTGACTAGTGCTGTCAAAGTTTTATTTTCCTAAATTTTCTGAGGGAGGCATATTTATCCCGGGATAGCAGGGCTGGAAAATCGGAATTAAATTAATCGAAAAGGAGCGACACTGCATAGTTCCGTTCCATCGGAACTATTCCAAGGAACAAAACGATAAGGAACGAAACTAAACCAAGAACAAAACCTCAGCGAACAAAACTGAGAAAAACACGGAGGAGTAAAACTGCGTTTCGATTCGATCATTTTTGTTCGTAAGAGTAAAACATAGTTCCTTTCTTTTGGTGACGTCATTGGAAGAACAAAACGTATATGTCCCTCGGGGATAGTGCCTACTGTGACCTGACGCATTCGCGTGTGTGTGTGCTACTGCGTCCAGGCTTCTGCGTGCTTTTGTGTTTGTGCGTGCACGCACGAGTATCTGTGTGCGTGTGCGTGCATGTGCGCACGCACGTGACGCACGGATTTGCGCACGCGACACGCACGCAACACGCACGTGACACGCACGCGACACGGACGCGACACGCACGTGACACGCGCGTGACACGCACGCGATACGTACGCATCTGCGCACGCACGTGACACGCATCTGCACATTCACGTGATACACACGCGACACGCACGGATCTGCGCACGCAAGTGACACGCACGCGACACGCACGCGACACGCACACGTTACGCACGCATCTGCGCACGCACGACACGCACGTGACA